GACATCATGGAAGTCCTCATGGATGATTTTTCAGTCTATGGTAAATCCTTCGATCATTGTTTGGAGAACTTAAACAAGGTCTTACAAAGATGTCAAGAAAAGGACTTGATACTTAATTGGGAAAAGTGCCACTTCATGGTTCGTGAAGGAATAGTCCTGGGACATCAAATCTCCGAAAGGGGAATTGAGGTGGACAGAGCAAAAATTGAAGTAATTCGACAGCTTCCACCTCCTGTCAATGTCAAGGGAGTCCGTAGCTTCTTGGGTCATGCGGGGTTCTATAGGCGTTTCATAAAGGATTTTTCAAAAATCGCTAGACCCTTAACTGCCTTGCTAGCTAAGGATGTTCCGTTCGACTTTGATGATGAGTGTTTAAAGTCCTTTAAAATCCTTAAGGATTCACTCATCTCAGCACCAATCATCCAACCTCCTGATTGATCGCTGCCGTTTGAAATCATGTGCGATGCTAGTGATTTTGCCGTGGGAGCTGTTCTTGGACAAACTAAGGATAGAAAACACCATGCTATAGCATATGCTAGTAAAACGTTGACTAGAGCTCAGCTTAATTATGCCACAACTGAAAAAGAGCTCCTAGCCGTAGTGTTTGCCATTGATAAGTTCATGTCATATTTAGTGGGAGCTAAGGTAATTGTTTACTCTGATCATGCTGCACTAAAATACCTGCTCACTAAAAAAGATGCAAAACCTCGGCTGATTAGGTGGATTCTTCTACTCCAAGAATTTGACATTGAAATTAAGGATAAAAAGGGAGTAGAGAATTCTGTTGCAGATCATTTGTCGCGTATGCAAGTCACTAACATGCAGGAGCTACCGATAAATGACTATCCGCGAGACGACATGCTGTTGAAAGTCACAGACTCTGACCCATGGTATGCAACCATCGTCAACTTCATGGTCGCGGGGCATGTACCACTGGGAGAAAATAAGAAGAAGTTGATCTACGAGAGCCGTAGGCACTTGTGGGATGCACCTTACCTTTACAGAGTTTGTTCAGATGGCTTACTACGGAGATGCGTTCCGGCAGATGAAGGCATGCAGATCATTGAGAAGTGTCATGCTGCCCCATATGTAGGTCACTATGGAGCATTCAGGACACACGCAAAGATCTGGTGGAGTGGATTCTTTTGGCCATAGATGTATGATGACACAAAGGAATTCGTTCGGAGATGCACAAGGTGCCAGAAGCATGGAGGGATCACTGCTCGAGATGCGATGCCACTAACATACAACCTTCAAGTTGAGCTATTTGATGTATGGGGCATCGACTTCATGGGACCTTTCCTAAAGTCCTATGACTGCGAGTATATCCTGGTGGCCGTTGACTATGTGTCCAAGTGGGTAGAGGCAATGCCATGCAGGGCCGCAAACACCAAGCATGCCCGCCGGATGTTCCATGAGATTATTTTCCCTCGTTTTGGAACTCCACGGATGGTGATAAGTGACGGAGGGTCTCATTTTATCGATAAGACCTTTTGAAACTTTTTGCAAGAACTTGGGGCTCAGCACAACATTGCCACTTCGTATCATCCCCAGATAAGTGGACAAGCAGAAACGAGCAACAAACAAATCAAGAATATTCTGCAGAAGACTGTCAATGAGATTGGGAAGGCATGGAAGAACAAGCTACCTGATGCATGGGCATATAGGACTGCTTATAAGACGCCCATCGGCATGTCACCATACCACCTTGTCTACGGAAAGACTTTTCACCTTCCAGTACAGTTGGAACACAGGGCGCACTGGGCTATCCGGACTTGGAACATGGACTTAAAGAAAGCCGGACAGCACAGAAAGATGCAGCTCTCTGAGCTAGAGGAATGGAGGGACAAGGCCTACCACAATGCCAAGATCTACAAGGAAAGAACAAAAAGATGGGATGATAAATGAATCAAGCACAAGGAGTTAAAAGCTGGGGACAAGGTGCTGCTGTTCAACTCACGGGTGAAGCTTATCGGACATGGAAAACATCGAAGTAAATGGATGGGTCCATATACCATCGTCGATGCTTCATCGCATGGAGCCATCACGCTATGCGACAACGAAGGTAACATCTTAATGGTATCCAACTTAGTGGTAAGTATTATAACTAATCATTTCCACTAGTGTTGGTGAAATATGTGTATGCAGGTAATTTGAGGAGAAAACACATCCGTCATGTCAAAATGCATCTCTGCGCATTCAGGACGCGTTTACACGGATTAGTGGCCCAATAAGTCAATAAAACCATTTAGAATTGGGCCAAAACATAACCCAGGTGGTTAGAGGCCCAATAAGCAACCTCCCGGCCCAAGGAGAGGCTGGGAGGAGAGTTTTTGGGTTCGGCCGAACCAATCATGGCGCTTCCCGCCATCTGCTTTCACCGGGACGGCTCGGATTTCTTCCCAGAGGTGGTTGCAGGGTGTTTTAGACAATTCCCATGCCCCTAACCGTTATTTGGAGCCTATATAAGGAGGAGCTCACTCACATTCCAATAGACACAACTTTGAGCTGAATTACAACAGGCTCTATTGTATCTTTTGTACATTAGAATAAGGTAGAGAGTGAGGGGAAGCTCTGGAGGAGTGCCCGGAAGTTTGGCGCTCATCCGACTTCTACCTCGACGAGTGTAGCTTCTTAGGAGGAATTCTGGAGGAGTACCAGAGTTGTCGGTACACTCTGCTCCAGGTTCGGAGAACTTCTTCTAAAAAGTAAGCATTTGTATTCCTTTCTTATGTTATTTAATTATTTAGTCTAAGTAAGATAGATTTCCATCTTTGCAGGTTCATTGTTTAGTATTCATACTAAGTGCTCTAGTACTAGGACTCTAGATAAAGAAAGAAGTTCCTGTACAAGTATTAGAGTAGTAATTAATAACTTAGACGTGGTGTCTAGGTTAGAGATTACCTTTGTTTGTTGTGTATCCCACGGATTTGTCAGAGGTAGGCGGCAGGTGGTGACAGCCCTGAATCCTGTCTCAGTAATCCTCCATGTTCGGATACATCATAGAGCTATAGCCGGAACCACGCTGGTAGACCAGCAGGGGTCGATGCCCGAAGCAACATATAGGAAATTACCTTTGCTTAGCTTAGATAATTAAAACACATAGAAAGTCCTCTCTAGCCTACCTAGCCTACCTTGTCCTTGGATTGTCTTATCCTTAGGTGGATTACACACGTTCCTTGAGTTCGATATCCTTTTGGGGTCACCCGAAGGTGAAGTGATACAGCGGTATTCCGTGCGCTTGCGGATTTATCTGTGGTCGTAAGAAATACCAAGAAATATTTGTATGCATGTAATTATGGATGAAAACCACCCTCCACGCGAAGAGAAACACACCTCTGGCCAATCTATGGGCTAACTAATCATATGAAACTAACATAATTGAAGCGAATTTAGTATGCACCGTCATGAGGACCCACAGGATAGTGACTGAGGCGAAAATGATGAAGAAAGGCGGTGAATGTGGTTCCTCTGAACCAAGGTTCAGTCAAACCTGGAGTGTGACTAATCACCGCCAGCTTCCACGTGTCACTTCCTCAGGCCTCCACAATGGCGATTATGCTTGATTCCCAAGCTACATAAGGAGAAGTTTCCACTCTCAAAACACCAAAAAGTTGAGTACAACTCACTTTTATATTTAGCCTACTCTACAGTAGAGTTAGAATATAGGAAGATAGTGAGGGAAAGCTCCGAAAAAAGTGCCCAAAATATCGGAGTTCCCTCCGAGTTTCGGAGGAGTGCATGTCGACATTCTCTCCATGGGGTGTACTGGAGGATTGCTAGAGATGTCGGCACTCTCTCCTATCTTGTACCTCGACAAATACTTCTTTTATATAAGTAAGTATTCATGATTTTCTTTAGTATTTACTTCAGTTATTTAAGTAAGATATATTCTAATCATTGTGGATTCATCGCTTAGTATTTATATTAAGTACTCTAGTACTAAGACTCTAGATAAAGAAGGAAGTTTTTGGCCGAGTTGTAATCAATATTGTAGAGGTGCTATCTAGGTTAGAGGTTACCATCATTTGTTGTGTGCTCCATGGAATTATAGGCAGCTGTGACAAATATGTCCGTTCTTCTTAATCCTCCACGTTCGGGTACATCATAGAGCTACAGGTCGGAGTCCCTTGGCAAACAGGGGTGAACCGATGCTCAAAAAAACTAATAGAGTTTTACCTTAACTTAACTAAGATTATTTACCCAAAGGAATCCTATCTCTCCTAAGCCTACCATTTAATTGTTGTCCTTAGAAAAATCCTTAATTGTTGTCCTTAGAAAAATCCTATTTCTTGGATTATACACATATGCTTCTTGTGATTCAATACACTTACAATACTCTGATGTGAAATGCTATATCGGTAACTATGTACTTGCAGATTTATGTGTGACCATAACAAATTAATACCAACAGGGATTGTATTCGTCGAGTGTTCCCTATGATTCATTAAATTTGTTGCCTACGGCACTGTTACGTCTTTTAGTACAAGTTCATATTCAATACCTATATCGAGAAAAAAATCAAATTGTGGAAAGTATATATGGTTACTTTTACAATTTGATTTGTTTTTTTTACTCCATGCATATATTGAATTTGATTGTTTTTCAATGAACATGCGATACAATAACCTACTTTTGTAATTTTTTGAAAAAAAAACATTCATAACTATTTGAACCGCTTGTAAAAAAAAAAAGTTCTCATGGCCTCGTCCATGGATAGAACTGAGCCAAACTAAAATCTCTCTATTGGGGAATCCATAAATTACTAGAAATAGACATGCATGTTGGATTATTCAAAGAATATCGAGAAGGACACGGGTAACCCCAGCCACAGAATGATTGCTGTTAAGCTATCAGACTGCTCAATAATAGAGGCATCCGACATGTTCGCATGAATGCGATATATATATCGAGTAGCAGCATTGCTACATCTGATAATAAGACTGATATGTATATATTTCGTTCCGTATCCACAGTGGGGCCAATGCAATATATTACGTGTTCGTCATCTTCCCACTCCTCCTCTATAAATAGCTCCCAAAATTTATGGCCTGCTTGTGCTCAGTTCACTCTTATCAGTGAATTAGAACATATACTTGTTTCCTTGACAGCTCGTTATTTAGCATGGCTAGGTCACTCGCTGCTCTCCTACTCCTTCTGGTGAGAGATATATATATTAGTTAGAGATTGAAAATTAAGTTGAAATTACTCTAGCTAGAATTTAAATTAACAGGAACAATATATGCCCCATAGTTAAAACGGTTGATGGATGAACTCATGAACATGGAGTTCATTGAATTCTGATGAGAACGTAATATAAGTTTTTTTTTACTTATCTTTCGTTGTAACTTTTGGTTCATAAGTATGTATGCATGTTAGCTAGCAAGTAGGTATATTTTGAAATCAAGTTAATAATTTTCAATTCAACTTGTTTCTGACTGCACTGCAGGTCGCCGCCGCGGGAGACAGCCATGCCGCGTCGCCAGCGGAGATGTACTGGAAGATCGCGCTCCCGACCTCGCCGATGCCCGGCGCCATCCGCGACCTCATCAACCCGGCGAGCTCAGCGGGGTCAGCTTCGAAGGAGGACACGGTGGGCAACGTGTTCTTCCTCGAGAAGGACCTCTTCCCGGGCTCCAAGCTGACGCTCCACTTCACCCGCGCCACCGCCGGCGCCGCGCTGCTCCCCCGCGGCCGCGCCGACTCCGTCCCGTTGGCCACCGAAAAGCTCCCGGAGATCCTCTCCCAGCTCTCCGTCCCCGCCGGCTCCCCGGCCGCCGACGCCATGAGTGCGAGGCCGCGCCGCTCGCCGGCGAGGCGAAGCAATGCGCGACGTCGCTCGAGTCCATGGTGGAGTTCGCCGCGTCCAGCCTCGGCACCCGCGACGTGCACGCCGTGTCCACGGAGGTCGACAGGGCAGGGCCGGCGCCGAGGCAGGCGTACAGGGTGGAGGCCGTGAGGCCCGTGCCGGTGTCCGGCGGCGACATGGTGGCGTGCCACGGCATGGCCTACGCGTACGCCGTGTTCGGGTGCCACACGACCACGGCGGCGGCGTACACGGTGGCGCTCTCCGGCGCCGACGGGACTAGGGCGGAGGCGCTCGCGGCGTGCCACGCCGACGCGGCGCCGGGGGTGGCGGAGGCGTACAAGAGGCTCGGCGTGGCGCCCGGGAGCGTGCCGGTGTGCCACTTCTTGCCACAGGACGACATGCTCTGGGTGCGTAACTGAGCGCGCGCGCGTGAAAGGGGATAAAAATTGTGTGATCTCAAGATAGCTCCTTCCTATATTTTGGAGCTATATGCGTATCATGTCTTATCATATGTGTATGCGACGACCCGAAATGCCACTACTATACTTGTGGCAGCATGTTAATAAGTCTGCATGTACGATTCATCGATCCATACATCTTGTATGACAATGTTACACGGTTGTATACACCACTACGTAAAATATTTTCTTAGCTACTCCCAACATATGCAGGCAAATGAGGGGAAGATGGATGTGTGCCGTTGGATGCAGTGGTTGGCTGGGATGAAGTGAATTGCAAGACCGTGACTTTCCATCCAAAGTCAGAGGATCCGTTTCCGGCCATGAGAAGGCTCGCCGGTAATACGATAGGCTCCCGAGAGTATACGGGCTGCCCGCGAAAAAGTCATCTTCACAAATAGGTTCTTAAGCACTCCACCTGAGTTTTTTTTCGCAAGCGGGTCTCCTGAGTGTCCTGTATGTGCTTAGGATGAAAATGGAGCGGATATGGATGGATAATGCTTATACAATATTTCTTTCCGTATTTTCTGTCGGATAGGAAAACGAATACGAAAGCTCGGATATGAAAACAAATATGAATTATCTCGAATATGAATAAAGATCGAATATGATCGGACACGAATAGGGAAATAAATATTTCTCAGAACATGAAAAACACTTCAATTTCTAATAGAAACAAATACTATCATATATAAATATATCGTTTTATATAATAAGTTTGATCATAGAGTCAACAATGCTAATTAAGTTTAACATGTACATCAGAGTTGATATAAATACATGTCTAACTGAAATTATAATATAAAATATAGTAAAATTTACAAAAAAATATTTAAATATTTAAGTAATATTAATAGTGTGGGCTAGTATCATGAGATGGGCTACTATTAAAATTCTAAAGAAGTAAGTTGAAGGTCTAGAGTTAGAAAGAAATGAGATATGTCTCATGCCTTCAGTGGATATCTGAATAGCATTTTGTTCATCGGATATCCTTCTATTATTCATATTCATCGAAAACTCTGATATACCATATTCACATTCATATAAAAAAATATCTTTATCCGGACTATCCATGAATTATCCGCTCCGTTTTCATCTATAGTATGCTGGCTGTAAAACTGGCTGCCTATGAAGAGGACTTGGTTTTTCACAGGAAGGCCATTTAAGGGCTCGGATATGTTTACACCTTACTCAGGCCAGGCCCGCCTACGATGACCATTCCGTGTATATATATTCCAGCCCAAGCATTAAGCATATTCTAGATGATATGCATTAGAACATGAAAAGGATGCAATTTTTTTTAGAACTCAAACTTTATTCCATTGCTCAAACATATTAATTACATGGTTTTCATACAATTTAGAGTACGTACTGAAATGGTCTTTCATATCCTTAGCAAATCACCTTCTGCTTGGATAAGCTAGGTTGGCGATATTGTGGCAAAACAAATGCTGGATTTCATTGGTCATCTCTCGCATTTTTTGCTAACTTGTCAGCCATGCGATTGACCTCTCTCGTTATCCACAAGACCACAACACCTGCAATAAGCTAAAAGGAATATTTGCTTGAATTTAACTCAGTAACCGCTGAAGATTCGAATAGGCTGGATCAGCTTCAAAATGTCTCATATTCATTGTATTTGCGATCGTCTCGTTGTCCGTTAAAAATATGGTACCTGCAAAATCAAGAAATATCGCCACTTATATTGTCAATTGTAGAGCCAGAAGTTCAGCTTGTAGGGAAGATTGAGCTATTGTAGTTGTAGCTTTTAGGAAAACTAGGAAGGTAGCCCGCGCACTCACGCGGGCATGTATCATAGGTTGTATTTGAGATACTTATAAGTAATAGGCTGATTGTGTTAAATGTCGTATTTGTTATATAGCAAAATATAGGTATATGAATCTTATATCGTTGATTTGATTATAAACAGAGCAATAGTTAGATTAGAAATCAGACGTGGAGCTTATAATTAATTATAGATTATTTCTCTTTTAGTCATACAAAGTAGGAAGGGGAGAGGAATGACACATAGAAGGGATAGTTTAGAGTACTCTCACTAAATTATAAGTCTAGGCTAACTAGAGAAGAATAAAGAAAAGCATCATTTCTATATTTTTAATATATAGTTATTTTAGTATATGCTTGCTAATGTACAACTATGCCTACTGGTATATCGAGAAACCACCCCAAATTGTCGAGTTTCTTACGACAATCCGTCATGACTATCCAACCGGTTAAAGATATGGAGAAGTACCCGCACCCGGAACCTTTCTTAGCCCTATCTACGCACGTGAACGAATACACGTATTGAGTTGTCAGCATCAGCGGCCTATCTTTACGTATGCGTGGCATATAGCACCACTTAATGATATCTAATAATCTAATCACCGCGCTTACATTACTAAATATTACCAAATAAATGAACACTAAGCCAATACCATTGCATATCTCCAGTAAGCTAGCTACATAATAAATACGAGTCAAGTATAAACCGAAGTTGGTACTCGAATAATTATGCAAGTATAGTAAAGGACCAAAACTATATAAAAAACAATATTTAATTATTGAATAAAGTCTTACAAGAGAGGAAGAGCTACTAGAACCATACCCGACTTCTCTGCAAGACATGAAGAACTAAGGAAGAATATTTAATTCTAACTCTACTAGCACTAGAGCAAAATATGTAAACTAGGGTTGCGCTCGTTACCTCCTGTTCCCAACTTCCCTTCCTCGTTTTCCACGCGCACGCTTTTCAAACTGCTAAATGGTGTATTTTTTGCTAATCCATACTAATCCATTTTTGAAAAAACAAGCAAATACTTAGTTAATTACCCCCTAATCGCTGCTCCGTTTTCCGTGCCAGGGAGTGAGGGTTCCCAAACCTCATTCCCGAACTCAGCCTAAGAGAGCTTCTTCACTTGATTTCCTTCTTGGTGTGTATTGAAGTGAAGTTGGGGAGGTCCTTTTATAGATTGAGTATGATGATTGGAGCGCCAATACCAGTACAACCGTCATTAGAAGATCGGTATGTAACCGCCTTCGGCTTGGGCCTGGGCGATCGGAGCCAGGCATGGGTCAGCGGAACCCAAGGTTGGCCGAACCGTGGTTGGCCTCCCTGGGCCAGTCCTTCGTCCTAGACGTCTCCTGACAGATCCTCGGCCCAGTGGCATAGTGGTTGGGCCCATTTGTAGGTGTTTCAATGAGATTCTGGGCACATCCATCCATATATCTGCCACATGTCGACCTCTGATTGGTTAAACGGTTATTTTCAATCATTTCTCCTCCATTTATGTGATGATCTCTTGTAAACAAATACTTACTTTATCAAGTACAAGTGGAACTAGATTATTTCTAAATAAATATGCATGCAAGCATTGCTAGTTCTCCATTATCTACAAAAGTATTGACAGTCAAAATTGGTCTATAACTACCGTCAGCAATGACAACCTAATAACATCCGATTTTTAATTTATTTGAATTGTTGATTTATATTACTCATATTTTACTATGTAAAATTTAAAATACGTAATTTGAACATAGGCCAACAAGCAAACAACACTGAAATATTAAAAAATTGACAACAAGTATTATGTCATGTTAATCATTCTACATAATAAAAATTAGGAAAGTACAAAGTCAACTTTTATAACCTTTTAGAGCCATATTAAGTTACCACGTATCACTAATATTATTTTCAACTATCAAATCTATTTTTATAAAAATCTTAATCCATGACATGTTACAACTTTAAAAAAAAATCTTACAAATCCAAGGAAAATAACATCTAATAATTGGCTTTCACTTAAATCAATTAGAAAAATTACAAAAAAAAATCCACTCCACATCACCCTCACATGCGTCCATCACTACACACCCACTCTAGCTCGAGCTCTACGCTTTTCATTACTCTCTCGTTCCTATTTTGTATAACTAAAAGAGAAATAATCAATAATTATAAGCTCCACGTCTGATTTCTAATCTAACTATTACTCTGTTTATAATCAAACCAACAATATATATAATATCAATATGCCATATTTTGCTATATAACAAATACGACATTTAACACAATCGGTCTATTACTTATAAGTATATATCTGAAATACACTACAATATATGCCCGCGCGAATGCGCAGGCTACCCTCCTAGTTGCTCAATAATAGAGATATCCGGCATGATCGTGAATGTGATATAGCATCTTTGCTACATGACATATTTTTTTATTCTGCATAATCCAGTGGGGCCAATGCAATGTATTATTTGTTCGTCTTCTTCCCGCTTCCCTGATCTATAAATAGCTCCCAAAAGCTATGAACTGCTTGTGCTCAGTTTCACTCTTATCAGTGAATTAGATCATATACTTGTGTCCTTGACAGCTCGTTAATTAGCATGGCTAGGTCTCTCGCTGCTCTCCTTCTCCTTCTGGTGAGCAGACACACATATATATCGCTCTTTGTATGGTTTAGTTGTTTTGAGCTAGAAGCCTAGAACAGAGATAAGTTGGGAGAGAGATATATATTATTTAGAGATTGAAGATTAAGTTAAAATTACGTACCCTAACCTTTTTTTTTTGCGGGGAACCCTAGCTAAAATTTTAAACTAACTGGATCAACATGTTTACCTTAAGATGGTTGATGGATCAACATATGGAGTTCATTGAATTTCTGATGAGAACGTAATACAATTAGTACTTATTCCAGTTGCAACTTTTGGCTTTGATAGTTTTCAATTCAACTAGTTTCTGACTTCAGGTATATATATATATATATATCTATCTATATATATATATATATCTATCTATATATATATATATATCTATATATATATATATATATATCTATATATATATATATATATATATATATATATATATATATATATATATATATATATATATATATATCTGAAGTTAACCGTTTTAAATTCAACTTGTTTCTGACTGCATTTCAGGTCGCAGCCGCGGGAGCCAGCCATGCCGCGTCGCCGGCGGAGATGTACTGGAAGATCGCGCTCCCGACCTCGCCGATGCCCGGCGCCATTCGCGACCTCATCAGCCCGGCGAGCTCAGCGGCCTCAGCTTCGAAGGATAAGGAGGATACGGTGGGCTCCGTGTTCTTCCTCGAGAAGGACCTCTTCCCGGGCTCCAAGATGACGCTCCACTTCACCCGCGCCACCGCCGGCGCCGCGCTGCTCCCTCGCGGCCGCGCCGACTCCGTCCCGTTCGCCTCCGAAAAGCTCCCGGAGATCCTCTCCCAGCTCTCCATCCCCGCCGGCTCGCCGACCGCCGACGCCATGCGGTCCACGCTCGCCGTGTGCGAGGCCGCGCGGATCGCCAGCGAGACGGCGCCCAAGCACAAGCACTACTGCGCCACGTCGCTCGAGTCCATGGTCGAGCTCGTCGCCTCCAGCCTCGGCACCCGCGACGTCCACGCCGTGTCCACGGAGGTGGTCAACAGGGCCGGGCCGACGCCGAGGCAGGCGTACAGGGTGGAGGCCGTGAGGCCCGTGCCGGTGCCCGGGGGCGACATGGTGGCATGCCACAGGATGCCCTACGCGTACGCCGTGTTCGGGGTGCACGGGATCAAGGGCGCGGCGTACACGGTGACGCTGGCCGGCGCCGACGGGACCATGGCGGAGGCGGTGGCGGCGTGCCACGGGGACGTGGACGGGCACGGCGTGGCGGTGGCGGAGGCGTACAAGAGGCTCGGCGTGGCGCCCGGGAAGGTGGCAGTCTGCCACTTCCTGCCTCAGGACGACATGCTCTGGGTGCGCAACTGAATGAAGCAGCTACCTGCGCGCCATCCATGGCTAATTAAGCTCCTTCCTATATTTTCGATCTACCTGCCGGCTGGCTATCATGTTATCATCGCGTGTGTGTGCGCGCCGATCCGACATGCCCACACTACACGTCGACACTACACGTGTTTTATTTTGTTAATTAATAAGTCTGGACAACCAGGTCATCTTGTACGGCACTTCTCCCCTCTGTCCCGAAATAAACCAACTTATAAAGATTGAAGTTTGTCGCAAAATAAATCAACTTCTACCTTCTTGGCTACCACCAATTCGCAAAACGAGAAATTTCATTACTTCAATACCCCACATCTACAAATTCAACAAATACAACTTTTATATTAATTAAATGCATTATGGTCTTTTGTTTTTCTCCTTAAAATATTCGTGGAATGCTAGGGTTTAAGATTAATTTTAGGGACCAACCGATATTCAAGTTTGGGTGCCAACGGATATTACACATGCGTAATTAAGTAGACTTTTAAAAATAATTTTATCAATATTAGGAATGTGCCGTTTGTTAGGAGATGCATTCGTGAGTATGTGAACGTATTGCGTGTGTAGTAATGTGTGTCAGTCCTATAAGAATAATTTTATCATTCTTGAGAAGGTATCTGGAGATATATATTTTTAATGACAAATTTGATATCTCTAGATACTAAATATCTCAAGGTACCAAAAAAATTTTAATTTAAAATTTAGTTATTTTAACCTACTTTCTTAAGGACGGTGAAATTACTCGTCCTGTGATTGAAAACAAAATAGCCTTACCAAATTTTGGCACGAGCGTGAAGGCCCGACCGTGTCCATGCCATCTTCACTGTGCACCCATGTCTTCATGTTCACCTTGTCCTCGATACTCTTCCATACCTATTGCCTTTATAAATATTGCTGATTTTTTTATCAAGATATATAAGAGATGGGACACTGAAAAAATTTCACAAATGTTTGATCAGAAAGCTACTGAATCAATCTTACAGGTACAAATTATTCCACAAGTTTTGGAGGACCAACTTTGCTGGAAACATACCCAATCAGGTGAGTGCAACAAAAAAGTGCTTACAAAGAAGTTCACTCTCATCTTCATCCTCATCAACCCTCTGTTCCTACTTTAACAATCAATCTTCTTAAAGAAGTTTGGAAAAACAATTTCCCTAATATTGCCTCAACTTGTTCAAGATGTGGTCAGCAGGTAGATGATTTTCACCTTTTCTTTCATTGTCAATTTTCAAGGCTAACTTGGTTTGTATCTGATTTTCACCTTCAAATAGATGCTCTCACACCAATGCAGACAATGCAAGATATTTTGGCTTATTTGCTTGCTACTATGAAAACTGAAAATGCGCTATAAAAAATCTCTATCATGCTTTCGAAGATTTGGAAAGCCATAAATGACTACATTTTCAAATCAAAGGAATGGGAGCCATACCACGTATATGAATTGGGATTAGGTGATTTAACAACTGCACACAACTTCGACCATCCATTTTTGTGATCACCGGTTCAGATCAAAAGCTACAGTACCCACATGAACAGTATTTGCTGATACGATAATATGAACAGTACCATGTGCGACCTGAGCCGTTCAATTTATATCCAATGATGCGTACTACTACTGCAAGTTACGGTCACTATTGTGACTGCACCTGATCCAAATAATCCCATATATGTAATAATGCTGCATCTACTTACACCCAACTGACGCAACTACAAAGTTCAAAAGAACCAGAGGTAATAATAGATAGAGTAAAGTCCATCACCGGTCTCTAAACTTGTACCGTTGTATCATCCCAGTCCCTAAACTCGCAAATCGACCGTTCAGGTCCTCAAACTTGTTCGACTGTGTCATCCCGGTCCCTAAACTTGCAAATCACTCGTTTAGGTCCTCCAACTTGTTCAGTTGTGTCACCCTGGTCCCTAAACTTGGATTTGAATATCATCTAATTCAAATAGGACGATCTAAAGACTTTATATTTAAAAAAATTCATAACTTTTTCATGTGAACTCTAATGAAGACAAACTTTATATCAAACTTATAGCCCTCAACGCGATCTACAACTTTGTAGTTGAATTTTTTTTTATTTTAAGTCATTTTTTTCCCAAAATGTAATTTTAAAATTAAAATTTCAAAATCTATAAACATGCAACAATATTTTGGGACCCTAAACAGTTTTAATTAAAAAACTTCTCAACTACAATGTTGTAGGTCGCGTCGAGGGCTACAATTTTGATATAAAGTTTATCTTCATTAAAGTTCACATGAAAAAGTTATGAATTATTTTTTAATATAAAGTTTTTAGACCGTCCTGTTTAGAGACCAGGGTGACACAACTGAACAAGTTGGAGGACCTAAACGAGTGATCTGTAAGTTTAGGGACCGGGATGACACAGTCAAACAAGTTTGAGGACCTGAACGATCGATTTACGAGTTTAGGGATCAGGATGACACAGCGGTACAAGTTTAGGGACCGGTGATGGATTTTACTCTAACAGATAATACAAATGCTTTTCACAACTGTTTGCCTATTCCGTTAGGCACCAGATGCTATGCAGATGCCTCGTGGAAGGACAACGTCACAACCTTACTGTCGTTGGAATCTTTATATGTGCAGAAGTTTTTATTCAAGCTCAGAGCCGTCCCGGGGGAGTGCGACCAACGCGATCGCACAGGGCCCCCAATCTTCAGGCCTTGTTCTTTTAGGCTGGGTTTGGGGGGGAATGGGCCAACATCCCCGTGTGCCATCCCGGCCGGGTCGAATTTTCTTCCGTGGCCCATGTATGCGTTCGCCTGGGCCGGGGTGGGAGTAATTCTCCACCCAATCCACACCAATCCCACGGGGAGAGAAAAATCGCCTCGGAGACGATTTTTTTTTCCAAGCCAGCCGCAGCGCTCGGCCTCCTCGACTCCTCGCTGCGCTAGGGTTTGGAGGCGGCGTGAGGTCCGGGAGGCGACGCGAGGTCCGGGAGGCGGCTCTAGGGTGGAGATCCAGGAGCAGCATATCTCCAGCCGCTGCCGCTCTCCATCCCGCCCTCGGTCGCCGACGATCTCCATCCAGCTTCAGCCGCCACCGGTCTCCATCCCGTCCTCAGCCGCCGCCGGTCTCCATCCCGCTTCAGCCGCCGCCACCGCTCTCCTTCCCGCTCTCCATCCCAGCCAGTCGCCGGCGCTCGCCATCTCTCCTTCCTCGCTTCGGATTCACCGGTTGCGGGAGAGGGCAAGGTCGAGGGCAACAGCCCGGACACCAAGAAGCAGGTCTGATTCTTGATCTCCTCTTTTCCCACTCAGAAAAGATTTTGTGACTTATCTAGTGGATGAATTTGTTGCTAGTTGATGTATTGAGTGGCTGTATGGATTGAAGTATCAGTCATGTTCTGCTTAGAAGGAGGGGTGATGTGGTTTGTAGTAGTAGAACCTGAAACCACAGAAAATTCCATGCACATCTCTGTGTGTGTGCGCAAATCTTGCCTATCAGTTGCTCTGTAATCAAGGAAATATATATTTGAATTGGCATATCCTATATTTCTGAACATGGGCTCTCTTCTTTCTTTTCTTTTTTTTGTGAGGGAGAAACCTGGTTTGTTAATTCTCCAGGAATTATTGTAGATGCAGTGGGAGCACACCTAAAAAATAAAAACTAGTGCACTCTGTTGTTGCTGTCTAGAATGCATCACTTTGCTTTTGGCCAAGGTCATTTGAGCTTCAGATTGAACGACCAATACTATATGCCAATTGAATGAGCAAGAAGATACAAAAATTTTTAAAGTCATGCTATGAGGTGGTCAGGTGGACACTGTAGTATACATTCTAGTTTTGGTAATTTTTTCCATGGCTTTTTGTTTAGCAAAATGCCCTTGTTAAAACTTGAGAAATGTAGCTGTCCATCTTTTGTTCGAATACCTATTTTACTCTTAGCAATCAATTTAGCATATTTATCTATTCTGAACTGCTACTATGTTCACAACTAGTTTCAGGAAACTGGGTGTTCAGATATATTACTAGAGGTCATACCATACAAAGCTATATAAATTGCTATTGAATGACAAAAATATAATCTGTTGTGCTGAATTAAATTTCAGGAGAGGCACAGGCGTGTGGGGTTGGCAAAAGTAAAGCTGAAGGAGTTGATATTACTCAAGGTATTTGAGAAAAAACTAAATACAGTTGTACTTACATTTGCCTGATATGAAGCATTTAATCTTGCCCCTGCATATTTACTAGAGTAACAGAAGTAATTTGAAGTTGGAGAGAGAGAGAGATTGTAGGTACAATGTTATGTGATCTTGCTCAGGTGGCAGATGGTCTCAGTTTTTTTTTGCTAGTGAACAGGAGGCTGTTATTTTCAAGTAAACATCCTACCCTAGAAGGATATCCTCACTTTATTAAAGTTGCTATCTCTGAGGTTTAAACAAAACTAAGTACACAAAGTACTTCTGGAACTAGTCAAAATCTGAACACATTATTGATCCCCCTCCTTCCATTGCAGACTGTTTATTTGCTGAAAGTATTAAAAGTATTTATGCATGTAGCCACCTTGAATGCCTCTAATTTCATGTTTAATAATATTGTAATACATATGCATATTATTATGTTCTCACACATAGTTTAAAGTATAGTAATTCTATATCTCTTTTAGTGATAAAATCAGTTCGAGAATGGCGGATGAAATTAAAAGGAGGAGAGAAGAGGACGATGATATGATGCTTTTTGTTTTTCCTGCGATGTATATGCTGTGCGGTATGACAAATAGTGAGAAAATACCTAGACATATCTCAAGACTATCCGGTAAAGAGCGGCTTCAAGAAATCCTTGAAGGACATGTAATGGATTGTAAAGTTGCATTCCGCATGGAGCCTCATGTTTTCAAGACAATAGCGAATTATCTTAGAGAGGAAAAGTTGTTAAAGGATAGTAGAGGCTTGAGGATTGAGGAGAAACTTGGGATATTTATGTTCATGCTCGCTCACAATGCAAGCTTTCAAGATCTACAATATGAATTCAAGCATAGTGGGTCTACACTTCATCGGCATATTAAGTCTATTTTCAAGATAATCCCAGCTCTCACCTATAGATTTCTCAAGCTTCCTCATGCCGACCAAACGCATTGGAAGATTAGAACAAATCCTCGCTTCTTTCCTTACTTCAAGGTGAATCTGGCACTCAAACTAGAAATGAATATCTATTCCTTTTCCAATTAAATAACTCATGCATATTCTGTCCTTTTCTTCCCTTTTTGCTGCAGAATTGCATAGGGGCTATTGATGGCACTCACATTCCTATAACTATAGATGGAGAGAAGGCAGCTCCTTATAGGAACAGAAAAGGGACTTTGAGCCAAAATGTGATAGTTGCTTGTGATTTCGACCTAAATTTCACTTTTATCTCATGTGGTTGGGAGGGGTCTGCAACCGATGCTAGGGTCCTTAGATCAGCAATGAATAGTGGCTTTCAAGTCCCAAATGGTAAATTTTTTCTAGTAGATGGTGGTTATGCCAACACACCATAGTTCATTACTCCTTATCGTGGTGTTCGGTACCATCTAAAGGAGTTTGGACGTGGTCATCGTAGACCTAGAGACTACAAGGAGTTATTCAATCATCGCCATGCCATTCTGAGAAACCATGTAGAGAGAGCTCTAGGGGTTCTAAAGAAGCGATTTCCCATCCTGAAAGTAGGCACTTTCCATCGGATAAAGAACCAAGTGCGGATTCCAGCAGCTGCTGCGGTGTTCCACAACATGATCCGGTTGCTTAATGGTGATGAGGGCTGGTTGGACAACCAACCTGATAATATAGAACCTACTAATTTTGTCGATCTACCAGAAGGTGACAGTGAATACCGAAATGATGTGCCATCTCTTAGCAATCAAATGATCAGTGGGAATAATATTAGAGATATGATTGCTAAGAAGATGTGGGAAGATTATGTTCGTAACTAGCAAGAATAGTATAGATAATATTTTGGTTTTGCATTATTTGTATTTATTTATGCAATCAACATTTATGATATGGACAAATTAATAGTAAGCAACGTAGTTTGTATTTTCTCATTCAATAAAATATTGCAATATAGTTATGATGTTTGGAAGACTATCTCCGAAAGCAAGCCTATTGCAGCAGCAACAAAGGCATCTACAAAAGAAGGCATCACCAAAGAGCTGTAGCATACAGAAGAAGAAGGTTTCTCCAAAAGGTAGTATCTAACTTGTTTTTTTGTGAAGTATTTTCCTTTCATATTAATGATTACAAATTTTACTTACTATAATCTAATTTTGTCTAATAGCTCAACAATCAAGAGCTTCATGGAACCCGGGACCAGAAAAGGCTTTAGTTGATTTACTTCATGAGCACAATAACCCACATTACCGGTGCCAAAACGGGTGGACAAGTGAAGCATGGAACAAGGTCGTCAAAGAATTTCGTGACAGACATCCCTATGTCACCATGAATAAGCAACAGATCCAAGATAAGGAGAAGGAGTTAAAACGAGATTATAGGTTGCTTAAGGAGGCAAGGAAACAGAGTGGAGCTTCTTGGGATAATCAACGGTGCATGATTGTTGCCGATGATGCTGTTTGGGCAAACATAATTACAGTATGATATTTTGAGCATAATTGTTTTGTCCTCATTCAAATCACTATTATTTGTATTCATGCCATAATTATCTGTTTTTGTATCTTGTGTAGTCAAATGAGAAAGTAAGGAAGTTCAGCAAAAACAAATCTTTTCCTCTCTTTGAATCCTTGGGTGAACTTTATGATGGTAAATTTACTTGATGCCATAATTCTTTGATTCCTTGTGCTTACGTTCAGTGCAGCCAACCTTGTTATTTGTTTTCTTCTCTCGTTGTTTGGCACTGCTACCTTCTTTCTTTGGCTTCTTCACATATCCTGCACCTGTACTATGTTCCTTTTGTATGATGTAGTCCTCTTAGGAAACAACAGTAACATAGCTGATTAGTTATGCATATTGACATTTCTCATATCCGCATATTGGAAATCAATGCCAAATTATTTGGTTGCTCATGATGTTTACTAAGATTGAGGCTTTAAATGGCTGATTCTGTTTGCTAGTGAACACATTCTTTTTTGGTGCAGTATGATCAATGTTCCATTAGTTATGCATCTCCCTTCTCGGATCTAGTATTTTCCCTAATAGGTATATACTGAAACTTTTGTATGGGTAGTGAATTGCAACCTTTTTTATAGGCCAAACTGCTGAGGGCAACATGAATTTCACTTCTATTGAGCCATTCCAACATGCTACTCTCACACAAGTGAATGAATATCTTGAGAGAAGTGACTCTTTTCCTGATGTAAATTGGGTTGCTGATGATGATGAGACCACTGAAGTTCAAGATGAAGATAATGCAGTGGAGCATGAAAATCAGGGAAGCCATATTACTATCACCTCAAGAGCTAATGGAGAAAAGAATGTCAAGAAGACCAAATCTACTGAGAGAGAGAGAGAGTAGAAAAGACACCGAAGAGGAATAAGAGGAATGATGTTGTTGATATGATGGAAAGTTACTTGGAGATGAGAAAAAGACAATCTGAGGAGGAGGAAGCAAAGAAGAGGGAGGAGGCAAGCAAGGTTGATGATTGCTCAATAAGGAACTGCATCACTGTTGTGGAATCGATGGAGGAGCTCTCAAATGAAGAAAAGGTCAAATCTTTTGGAGTATTCAAGGACGCGCAGAATAGGGAGATCTTCATGAGTGCAGGGCCTATGACTCGTCTTATATGGTTAAGAACGATGCTGGTAAGTTTGAATTACTATTGTTACTAGCATAATCTTAATTTGTGCAATTCTGAAATTCAATTCTTCTACACTTAAATAGGTGCATTTTTTTAGCCACGTTGCACTTTGTTTATGATGCGATTGTGTAACAATGCAGACCATGTAAGAATGACCTTTGGACCAAAAGGATATTGTCTTTCCAGGTACCCGTTCATACTTTTATAATTTTGACATGATTTTCATGTTATATTTATGTCAGGTTTAGGCTGAAGTTAGCATAATTTTGACATAATTCTTGTTAGTATGCCTCTGAACTTTTATAATTTTGATTCTTGTCAGCATGCCCCCTCTCTTCTGTCATGCAGCCATGCTAGTGTGTGTGCGCGCGCACCACTACTACTAGTACATATCTACATCGATCTACATCTACCTATATCCATTCATCCTCTTACATTCCTTGCCTACCACCTTACTTCTTCCTAAAATCAATCTATCTATCTATTTATCTATCGATCTATCATGTGTGCTTGCTGTAACTGATTAACTGGCAGTGTGATCATCTCTCTCTACTGCTGCTACATATATGCAGTGCTATGCTACAGGTATAATGTGCTATGTCTGCCTACCACAAATCTAAGCTAATTGTGACATGGTAATAAAGCAGGTGCTAGAGTGATTCTCTCTGTGTGTGTATGTGAGTGTGTTTGATGTGTAATTGTATCATTGCTTGTGCTCAACAAAAACTTGAGTACAAGTAACCATCTTCTGCATATTTATCTGATTTGATTCAAGTTCATTTTACCTGTTGTTTAGTTTACATATTAGCAATCACCATTGTCTAGTGTCTAAGACTTGTTTCTTTTTGGTTGTGTAGTTCCATGGCCCATTTGCTAGTTGTGCCCATTGGAAGGAATCTTTTGCAAGATAGTTCATAGAGACCGCTTGAATTGTGAAATGCGATGGATGAAGGACAATTTTTCCTAACTGCTTCTTAATTCATGTAGCTGTGATGGTTGCAGGAACCTTTTTTTTCTACAGGATTAACACTTGCTTGATCAGACATAGATATATTATTTAGTTTGATCGGATAGAGATATATTACGTTCAAAGAACCTATTTTGTAGCTTGCTTTGCACAATGGCAATTGGATGTTTACTGCTTGTAGAATTTAATCTATCCAAAATTATAATTTTTAATATTCTCGACTATTTTTAGAATCCATCTGTGGTAAATCCATGATTTTCTATCTTTACGCTTTTTAGAATTATTTTGCACGTTGAATTTCTGTTCCATTTTCATGATCGTTTTTTATCTTGTCATTTCTGAATTATTTTGACTTTCGTGACCTTCCAGCTTTTTAAATTTTATCCGAATTTTCCATGATAGTTTCTCACGCTGAATTTGAATGGTAGTAATCCCTTCTAATCTCACCTGTAATCCCACCTTCTACTCCAAACTGCTAGCCAACAAGGAAATCCCAGCTAGTAAACAGGGGAATAGAGGCCAGGAGATTGGGGGAACAAGGGGATTGGGGGGAAGGGATTGAGTGTGGGGAGCGGGGACAACCCAAACCCCACATGGGTTGGTTTTCCTTTGGATTATTTCCCACAGCTAGCGAACAAGGCCTCAAGGGGCCCCCAATCCCACCTGCTCGTCGCTGGACGTCTGTGCGTCTGCCGTTGTGTGTTGTGCCGCAGCAAAGTAGCAAGCATCAAAGCGGCAAGGCAGCAAGTAAACGCCTTTGCCCTCCATGACGCAACGCATGCCGTAGTGTGTATGTGCACTAATTTTTTATTTTTATTTTGGTCACAAGGTTTATGATTTATCTAGTATGCATACTAAATTAAATACTATTTTTAACATCTTTATCTATATGTTCATAGGTTTATATAGCATTTCAACTTTCAAGTTTCAACCATCTTCTGCAAATCATTGAAAATTTTATTTCGGGAAACAATAAAAGAATTATGCTTTTCAATTGAAGATTACGCGCATATACACTTTTTGTTCCACTCCAATTTATATTGCTGCAAAATATATCATGGGGTATAAGGGTGTGCGTTTGAGAGGATGGAAAAGAGAAATTGACAAGATACGTCGGCCATTAGTGTATAATTAATTGAGTATTAATAATTTCAAACTTGAAAATGGATTAATATTATTTTTAAAGCAACTTTTCAATATCTATTTCATAAAAAACGCACCATCTATAGCATTGCGGGAAATATGTGCGCGTAAAATGAGAGAGGATTTCTCTCTTTGTGCTGCAAGTAGCCAAAGTTTTTATTATTTTATTTTATAGATTATGTTTAGTATTTGGATAATATTTTTGCACGGGGCCTCCAAAATTCATGGGACGGCCCTGTTCAAGCTACCTCTTCAAAATATACCTCCTCTCTCTAAGCTGAACTTGCAGGTATAATACTAGCATAGTAGCATACAAGGTGTGTTCCAGACTTCAAATACAACATCCAATCTTCATTTCAGATAACCAATCCCTGCTCTCCATGCTACAAACAACAACACTTTGCACATTATGCACTACACTGGAGTCTTCGGCCTCTTCTCTTCCATTGCAGATTTTAACACAAAGAGAAGTAACCAACATATATAAGAGGGATAAAAGGAGAGGCAAACAAAATGGATGATTATCTATCAAGAAAAGTTAGGACTACAGCAACAGTAAGTACTCCAAGAGTTAGAACACTTTTACCACAACAACACTCATCTGTTACTCTGCTAGCTGTCCTACTTAAGGATAATCTGTTATTTTCCCCAATGGAGGATGTCAACAAACTCATGTACTATTATGTTTCTAGTTACAAAAATTACTTTACAAAATCATGTCTAATCTATTTTTAATATTTTTCAAGCTAATACTTAACTAATTATGTGCTAATGAGCAGTTTCGTTTTGCATACATGAGGAATTAGTTCGTCTTGTATGCATGGGGAATTAGTTTGCAACTTGCACTCTCTAACATAGCCCAATGAAGAGCATATCGGTCGGTTCATGTTGTAAAAGATGACAAAAGTAAGTAAATCAATTAGTAAGTGATGAAAAGGCATTTATAAGTGTTAACACATCAGTTGGGTTTGGTATTTTGAGAAATCATATTTACGAGATGATATTTTGACGAAGCCCAGTTTTAACGGAGGCATAACCCCTAATTTGTCACCACCATTGCTTGCATTGCTCCCGGTAATCTCGTTATTTACAAAATTGAAGGAAATTTTGCAGCTTGCCAGCATTTCGGCATGTGGTCTGTGGGAAGTGAAATGGGCTTGCAGAGTTGCATTAGGCCAATCTACCGGCTGCAAACAAGGAAAAACTACTTAGTACTGTAGTTGGGTTGGGTTAGAGATCTTGCAGAAAAGGACGCGAATCCATGTACCATGCCAAATGGCCCATCTCTATGTCGCTCTATTCTATTGGGTGGCATGGATCAATCAGCCCAACAAAACGGGAAACTAAATTCAATCTTAAGGCATGGTGCCTCGTTTTTCATAACATCTAAAAAGGTAAAATGTCATTAGAAAAATTACAAGATAGATCTATACTATGATATATTACTTCACAACTTATTACTACACATTTAAATTGAATCTATACAAATTTGAATTTTTTTTCAATCAATACAAATTATTACTATGCAAACAATTCAACACATAAAATTATATAAAGAAAGAAAAAAAAATGTAGTAGGCACAATCTGTTTGTTTCAACTTAAATAGGTGGTATTTAAACTTAAATGTTCGTGGAGTGATATATCTTATATTTACCAATCTTGTCAACAAAAAATTCATGACTATTTGAATACATAAATTAATCAAGCGGACCATCCCTCGACAAAGGGCATCATTCCCTATAAAATACCTCAACTTATACCACTAGCCATCACAAGACTATACAACGCGGCCTTCAACCCCTTTTTGATAAACCAGTTGGATGTATAGCCTACTGGTACGGAAGAAACATGGGAATAGCGAAACGAACAACGTTGGTCGGATTGGTCCTAACGTTGCAGCCTGTCTACCTCCTTATGGCGTTAAAAGTCTCCAAGGAATTTCTGGAGGTTCCTGACAATGTGGGAAAGAAAAATGGCTGCTACGGGTGGGATCGGGAGAACTCACGGGTGGAAAATACAAGACCAACTGGGAAAGAAAAACAAGCATGCCAATGGCACATAGTGAGCTAGGAGCACTACTACGAAAACAATTTTCATAGCATCACCATTTTATTTTTACTGGCGAGTTTAGTGAATACACGCTTGTAAAAATACTTGAGAGGGATTGCGGTCACCATCCATCAGTGAAAATCAATTTTCACTGACTGTTTTGCAAGCGGACCTCTTAAGTAACCATCGAAAATAGCTGGAAGCTGCTAAGGAGCACCGACTGCAAATTTTTTTTCATTATACTAAAATTTCACACGGATGGCATGGACTCCATCTTATCTCCACCCTACACAGATAGACTCCATCTCCTCCTCCTATCCTCCTCACACCCTCTCACCCCCCCCCCCTCCCCTCCCCTCCCTCTCGGTGGCCATGGCAGCCACGGTGATAGCGATGCGTGCAGCAGATATGGCCGTGGGATCGGTGTGGGCCTCCCCGTGCCCTCAAAATCTGAAGGAGGCAGGTCTCCTTCCTCCTTCCTCCTCGTCTAGCCGCTGCCGTGGCGGAGGCCGACCCTTGGCCTCCTTCCTCTTCAGTCCAGATGTGGCGGAGTCAGATAGCCTCCTTCCTCCTCGTCGAGCCACCACCGTGGAGTCCTTCATCTATGTCGAGCTGCCACTGTGAAGCTCTTCCTTCGCTGCCGATCCACTGTTGTGAAGCTCAAAGCCGACAGTGAGACGTGGCTTGTTTCAATGGTGAGCACGCTGTGGTGGTGCTGGTGGTGGAGGCAGCCGCTGTTGTTCTTGTTGCGGTGTGAATGTTTTGGATCTTGGCGGCTGGAGAGGCAGCAATGGAAGTTGGGATTAGAACATATCTGAGGATTTCTATTTTCTACGGGATCAGGTACTTCTTAGCAATCTATCTTTTCTCATATGTCATTTTGGAAATCTGGAATTGCATTGAGGCCAGCATATCCAAATTGATGCTTGAATTTGTGATTGTCGAATTGCATCTGAATTGGTTTGAATGTGATTTTTTTTACACCAGAGAACATCTTCACAGGTGGTTCGCTTAAGGGATGCACTTGTAAAAATCAATTTTCGCTAGCGGTCCTCATAAGCGGTACGCGCAAGCAGTTCTGTTACTGCTTGTGAGCTTTAGTTGATGGCAGAGCACCCAGCCATCTCAAAATAGCTTCTTGGCTGTCACCAAAGATGCCTTTTGTAGTAGTGAGTGCTCAACCTGGAAACGTTTGCAAGGGTGTTGTGGGTGAGATGACTTTGTCATGAATAGAAGGTGCTAGAGAAGATATGGGTAGGGATAGAAACCCATGCGAAAATATAGATAAATTCCTACTTTTGGCAACTACGACAATAACAATAGGCAAAGGGGAGACAATACACTTGTGTGACTCAATTTGGATACACGGAAGACACCTTAAGGATGTAACACCACAAATTTACGCAATCTCCAAAAAGAAAAATAAGACTCTCAGCCAATCCATCGAAAGTAACACATAGATACAAGACCTCAATTTCTCACCTGATGCGAGCATCATTGGTCGAACTCCTAGGCCAACTAGTGACCCTATAGAATACAATATAGGGGTGCATCTCACTGCCAATAAAGGAAATGAAATTACTTGAAAGCACACAAGCCATGGAGTATACACGTGAAGTGCTAGAGCCAAAAATTGGTAAAGACTAGGGCTAAGATAAGGCTCACCTAATAAGGTGTTAGATTTCATTTTGGAGGCAGACCTAGGGCTCAAGCCCTAGCTGCCCTAGGCCTGCCTCCACCCCTTTACATAGCTAGATCTAACAACACAAATTATGAGATGATGATTTGGAATCCTTGGGCTCTAACAAAATGCAAGCTCTTTACCTAGATATTCTTGCAAAACAAAGTGTAGATGTTCGGCAGACTTGTAGTCTACGACTAACCAAATAACTACACCATTTATCTGCTTTCTTGACACACCCACAAAACATCCTTCCATCTCCTAATGAAATGCAAATACATGAGGAGAATCTTGGATATATTATTTGCATGGACAGTACGAGAACAACTTAAGCCATCAAGATGAAGGAGACGACAGTCCATAAATGGTGAACAACACTAGCCACGAGCCCTAGCCCAGGCCTGCCATATAAAGGGGAACTACACGCTCATCCTATTAACAGTGTAGGAAATCTAGAAGCAGTAACTAGAGTGTTCTAGAAAAGGGAATTATCCACAATAGCTTTGGGCCCAAAAATTAAGGAGGCCAAATACTGGCCATGTACAAAGATAGAGATAGGTATAAGCTCTATACTATCTAGAGACTAATGTCATAGAACAGTTAGAGACAATATGGTCTCTACCATTAATGTATCAAAATATTTTTTTTTCTTACTCTTCTTTCCTTTCTTTCAACATCATGTAACAAAATTTGATCTAATAAATGCTAAGAGTTGACTCTAAACCATTGTCATGCATAACAACCATGTTTGTACTTTCTCTTTTATCTTTCTTCCATGTTATCAAATTTACTTGCATAGTAATATAGAGACCACTAATAAAAACCGTTGTACATGCCCTTAGGAGCAGCAAAGCACCTCCCAAAGCTAATACCTTAGCTCTCTCATCCTGTTTTATTGTTGTTTCTTTTTCTAATATGCAAATTTTTCCCTTACTATACTCAATGAAAATGACATATTTAGTATCGGTTCTTAAGAAAAATCCCCTTAAGGATAAAAAAAACCAATTGGCATAAGACTAATTAAACAATAATTAGACGCGATTATTTGTCTATAGCTTATTTGAAGCAAAGGTCGGAATAAATTCTATTATCTAAAAATTTAGACGCGATCATCTCAAAGGGATTTAATGAAAAACGAATGCGATTATTTGGCAACTCGTCTATGCCAAGAACAAAGCCTTTATCAAATCTCACTGCGAGGAACACATCATCATGCTTCATGCATGCATCAACGACTCAACATTTGCACTCCTCCTTAGCTCGGCTCTGCCGTCGCCGTGCGCAGCGAGAGCTTGCAGTGCGCAATGGCGCTCTCGATGCCGTCCTGCAAGTGCTGGGCCGAGCCGTCTATACCGCGGCGCGGCGGCGGCGGCGCCGCCATGGAGGAGCGGCTCGTCTTCGTCTTGCCGGTCGTCGTCGGGGCAGCGACCACCATTGCTGCTGGGTCTGGACCTCCGCGGCGGCGCGCGAGGCTCGTCGCGATCTTGTTCAGGTACTTCCGTGCGGCCTCCTTCGGGTTAGTAGTAGTGGCGGCGCGCCGCTCCTCCTCGCCGCCGGCGATCGCGCGCGCCTCCAGCCGCGGCATCGAGTCCGCCCGGACCTTCGCCAAGAATCGGCCGCTCTGTCCCTCCGGCGACACCGCGCCACCGCCGCCGGCCGCCTTCGGCTTCCTCAGCTTGCGAAGAAGAAGCTCGCGGAGCCTAGCAGCCGGCCCGAGCGCCGCCGCCACGCCGCCGCCGCGACCATCTTCGTCCTCGTCGGACGCCACGTTCACCGCCCCGCCACCACCATCATCGGCACCAGCAAAATCAACCTCCTCCTTTCCTCCCGACACCACCCACCGGTCGCCGAACGCAGTGAGGTCGAGGTCAAAGAGCGACGACAACGACGACGAGGACGACATCGACTTCACGTCGGCATCATCATCGACGAAGTTTTCTTCTTCGGTGGCCATCGCATCCGCCGCGCTCTGGCTGTGGATGGATGTCGTCGTCGTGGAGTGATCGAATGGTCGCGCGCGTGTCGACGGTTTTGACGAGGTGGAAAGGAGAGACGTGTGATGGATACTTGGATAGTCGTAGAGGAGCAGCAAGAGATGTCTTGACGTTTAGCGGGTCAAAGAGGAGGATGATGATGATGATGATGATGCATGGGGGTAGCCTAGGGATATGCCAGCGTCATACTTCACCCTTAACATAAATAGTGATCTCTGTGAGCAATTTTTGTCCATTCTATGGTGCAAAGATATAATATATCTTTTCATTAATACTTAAATTACAGTTTCAGGGAAAACTTTTCTTTGCATATAAAACTTTTGTTCCCACCGTGATATAGAAATATCTTTCTATATCTCATCACTAGGGTTGGCAACAGGGCAAATTGAGATTGGGTTGAAAAACAGAAGCTCTGGCCCCAATCCCTTATTTCCTCCCATGCCGCCCTCCTCTGGAAGAAGAAAACGGGAGAAATAAAACAACTACGGGCGACGATGTGGGCAGCGAAGAACGGTGTGGGGCACTAGCAGTGAGAGGGAGAGAAGATACAGTGTCGGGAGGTGGCCAGAGAGAAGGGAACGATGTGCCAACGGCCAGATCAGTCAGGGAGACAGTGTGCCTAAGCGACAGTGTAGGACTATGCTAGCTATGCGACTCACTACATAGGCATTGATGACTAGGAGGTGTCTAGGGTTTTGCGTTAATACCCTCCTTTTTTATACCTAGATCCTGCTGGGTTGAAGGACGAGGTGGGTCTTTTTATATAAACTTGGTAGCCAAGTTAGGTAGGCCACATTCCGCTGAAACCCGTGGGTGACCCGTTAGTAGGAACAGCTCTCCATCCCAGCACTATATTTTCTCTGGGACCCACGGCCCACCTTGATGGGTGCGCATGTCAAATTTTGGACCTACCCCTACCGAATGGGAATTTTATCACCCCTAACAGTCCTAGTGTTGTAGTTAGAAAGTTTAAATCTAAAAATTAAAATTTGGAGACATCTTTTTGAAAAAAAAATATATAAGAGGTTTAAAAGAGAAAAACAATGTCGGCATTTCTTTTTCCTTGTATCAAATAGGAGGAATGTTTAGTAACTTATAGCTTAGCTGGTTAAATTCCTGTGGTAGAACATAACTAAGTATAGATTTTTGACTCAGTATGGGTGTTCGTATTTATAACTAATTATTTTTTTATCTCCCTCGACAGTGAGGCGGTGACTCCATCAATTTTAGAATATATCGGTTTAGTGTCTCGAAGATGCTTATAGTAGTAGAATAAAAATGTGTGAATTTATAAGGGTGAGTACGCTTGTTTTTCTAGATAACCTGACCATAGAAGCCCGGGAGCAAATCGGCCCAACAGCCTCAGCCCAAGCTGAGCAATCATCTCCAAATTAAACTAACAGAAGAAGCACAGAAATTTGGACCATATACCCAACAACATTTTCCACGACCGGCTGGCCTCCCGCATCCCTGCTCGACTATCAGCACCCGGCCCAGCCGCCCAGGCGGCCATCCATCAGAATCAGAGTAAGCCCTCGGCAAGAGAGTAATAGACTCTAAACTCATCGATGATTTCTGGGGCCTGATCATTTTTTCCTCCTTGTGTGGGCATGCAGTAATAAAACATGATACAAACACATACGCTTATAATACACGTACATTTACCTCACCCTATCAATGGACACACGTACACCTTATATCAATCAATGAGTACGATCACCTTTAAAACACTAGACTTGTATATTTTGAAATTGAGGCACCTCACTTTCAACGGGTACATTATCTATCACTAAAATAATAATTAGCAGTAGATTCGAGTATCCGTGTCAAGTCTAGTACGTAAACCTAGATAAACTGGTTATAGCACAAGGAACCTAATCACTTAAGTTGTGCTCACTTCGCACATAATATTTTGACTGTGCAATATTTTAAAATGATGAAATTGATATTGGATACATGTATTTTGTTACTATCATTTCGTCACTGCAGTACTGCACAAAAGGTACTCAGGGCCTGTTTGGCACAGCTCCAGCTCCAGCTCCACCCCTCCTGGAGCTGGAGTTCAGCCAAACAGTTTCAGCTCCACCAAAACTGGAAGTGGAGTTGGGTGGAGCTGTCTCAATTTAGATGTGTTTATTTCCATGCTAAAATTGGAAGTTTGACTAAAATTGAAAGTTTGAAAAGAAAAGTTGAAAGTTTATATCTGTAGGAAAATTTTGATGCGATGAAAAAGTTGAAAGTTTGAAAAAAAAGTTGGGAACTAAACCCTAAACCCGGCCTTAATCATACTCGCTAATAGCCTACTAGTAAGAGTTATCAGATTTTTCCTGCGCGATTGCATAAGACTGTATCACACCACCCCCGGGCCGCCGGTCGCCGGACACCGTGACATCCAGTTTAAAGAACGACGACGTCGAATCCACGTCGTATATCATCAGCGATGTCTCCGTTTGTTTGCTTTTTTTTTTAAAAAAAAAGTGAACTGTAGGGGAGACTCTACAGTGTATAAATATAAATCTATATCTCTACTATTATAAAAATTAAAAGATGTTTTCGCCAATACTTTGATACGTCATCCGTATTTGAATTTGTTTTTAAGTTCGTTCGCTTTTAAAAATACATAAGGAATCGTATAAGAAATCCTTTTAAAAACCTCGCATGCTAACTTGAGGCGAAAGTCGGATTCCTAATATATTTATAATTCTCTCCATACCATAAGAAAACAACGTGCATGATATGATCATCATCCAAATAAGGATTCCGAATTAGATATCAATACGATCAAAATAAAAATTCTATATATACTTTAGAAAAAAATCTAACAACAATACGATTAAAATAGCCTTCATCTCATTACAACGCACCGGTATTTTTTCTAGCAATATAAAAAATTACAAATTACATAAGTATATAAAAAAATCAAAACTTATCTAGCCATTAAGACATATCTAAATGCAGTGGCGGAGCCAAAAAAAAATTTTGAGCCCGGGAAACTTCAATATAACTAACTAGTACTATTTATTATAGAAATTTCACCATTAATTTACTCATCAATATTAAAATTTAATTGAATTTTCGTCGTCGAGCCCAGGCGGCTGCTTAGGTACGGTTAACCGGACTGTGTTCGTACGAGGTTTAAGATATCTTTTGCCCTATGGTTATAGTAAAATTATTTTTGAATATATCCTTACATAAATATGAAAATAAGGGTTTATGCCTTTGAACATCATGATGTACTTCTTGAGTTCCATGTACTCCATGCCATCATCGATCCGATTGTTCCCTCTTCTTCTTCGGTGGCCATCGCATCCGCCGTGGTCTGCCTTTGGAATTTGGATGTCATGGTGTGGCACCAACTACAATGTTATAGGTAGAAGGTTAAAACCTGAAAATAAAATTTGGAGACACCAAATAAATCATAGGAGGTTGAATTAAATGATTGAAGAAAAACTTAATGACATTTCATTTTTAAGAAAATAGGAGGAGGAATATAATCTAAAGAAAGAGCAATCTAAACGTAGGGGGTCTCCCACTCACGCTAGCGCTTGTATTTTCAATCAGTGGTAGGCTATGTGCCTCTCGAAAACAAAGTATCTGAGATGACTTTATCAATCTCAAAATATGTTAATCTAATCTTTTAGGGATGGGATGTATTGTATGCGCTCATATGAGGTGAGCATTCGCACGTCAGTATGAGTGTCCGCTTTTGCATTGTGCTTTCAAAAAGAAAATCTGACCAGAGAAGCCTGGGGAGCACAACGGCCCAACAGCCCCAGCCCAAACTGCCAGACGAAGCACAAAAATTTGGCCCATACCCAGCATTTGCTAAGAGGCTACGCCCAAGCGGCCGTCCATCAGATTCAGAGCTAAGCTTCAATTTCATTTGAAATTTGTTACCTCAATTTCGTCACTGCACATATTTTTAGATAATGGAATATTTTTCGTCACTGCACACATGGCAGGGGCATTCAATTCATACTCAGCAACTAGTATAGGTACGCAGTGTTTACTTCCCTTCAAACTTTCAAAAATTTCGTCACATCAAATGTTTGGACACATGCAGGTACCATTAAATGTGGAAAAAAAACCAATTGCACAGTTTACATATAAATTGCGAGACGAATCTTTTGAGTCTAATTACGCCATGATTTGACAATGTAATATTACAGTAAACATTTACTAATGACGAATTAATTAGGCTTAATAAATTCGTCTCCCAGTTTACAGGCGGAATCTATAATTTATTTTGTTATTAGTCTACATTTAATACTTCAAATGTGTGTTTGTATACTTAAAAAAATTTGTCACACGAACTAAACATAGCTCTAGTCGGATTTCTTGCGTAATAATTGCACGAGACTATGGTCCCGTTCATTTATCAAAGAGTTGGATGAAGATAAAGTTTTTGTGGCACACTTTTTAAACTGCTAAACGGTATGTTTCATGCGAAAACTTTCAATATAACAATATTGCTTTTCCTTTTTTGAAATAACATGGCAATTTGAAGTCCTCAAAACAAATAGATAATTCTTTTTAATCCCTATCTTAACTTATATACTCCCTCTGAAAATAAATATTTGATATTTAGAATAAGATTTTATTAAAGTTTTAAAACTTTGTCCACCAATAACTTATATGCATAGTTTAAAAAGAAACCTAAACTAAATATAACTTGTAGACAGTTATAATATACTAATTAAATGCCCATACTTTGCTACACGTTGTTCTGAAAAATATTTACCTTACTTTGATTCTATATGTCGCTATCCATTTAGGTCGATGGTTTACACGCCGATCCAAAGCTAGAGTAGTCTTTAATAGAGCATCAATTATAACTGAGTACGAACAACACTAAACTTTTTTTGTCATATTAGCCACAACTAATTAGCCGGTCCATTAGCCCTCAACCATTCAAAGCTAACTTTCTGGCTTAACTCCTGACGGCACTTCACTCCTCAACAGGATGGCAATGACGACCTACCTTAACAAACAAATCCAGGTACAGCAATGCTGCTATACTTGTCGATCAGAGGCTATTATCTCCCAAGATCCATGAGCACGAGAGCACTTGAATAGATACATGATGCCACCAGGCTGGATTTGGCAGTTTGGCACCACCTGCAGGGGGGGAGGCTAGATATGTACAGTACAGGTCAGGCCACCAGCTAACTAGGTGAGTGACCGCAGCTTTAAGATTGCTGTCATTAGCATGTGTTGCTGCCCCATGGTCCATGTGTAATCCTACCTCCGACCATTTCAGGTTTCAGCACACTAGCATTGCAACGGAATTTTAGAAAAGAGAATTTCATAGGGATCCGGTGTTTCGAAAATATTTATAGGGGTAGGGTGTATGTGAATGTATTCGTAGGGATAAGTATACACTCGTTGTGAGCGTCTGCATTTGTATTGTGCTTCTATAAAAAAATAAAGCCTCAAAAATTAAATCAAAATCATTTCCATTATAAAATCTCCGAATCATGTTTACCATCATTTCGTACTTCACCTAAAAACTGATGGCTTTGAATTGAGAAAACAAAAGTTCATCTACCATACTGTTTGGGGAACCCACATGGTATCGACGGATTTACTGTTCACCATCACTATTGAAATCTATTAAAGGAATATAGGAACTCACCTAGTCCATTCATCTCAAGCTCTCTCCCCACGACCTCACCTCTCCTCTAAAGGTCATATCATGTTCCAAATAATTTTAAGCTCAAAGATCTAATTAATTGAATAGTGTTCAAGATCCATCTCCGGTACGTACTCAAGTTTTCTATAGATGACGGCATGATATCATCGATGGCCATCCGCTGAAAATCTTTCAGGCAACTGCCAGAGCCAGTAGATTAGAAGCTTCTAATCTTTGCATCCACAATGATGAAGACAGGTCGCAATGCCCTGTCCTGACCAAACCGTCAAACAACAACAGGTAGAGCCGTAGAGCGTAGTAGCGTACCAGAGAGGACACTAGCACCCTGTTTAGATGGGACTAAAACTTTTAAATCCCTATCACATCGGATGTTTGGTAACTAATTATAAATATTAAACGTAGACTATTAATAAAACTCATCCATAATCTTGGACTAATTCGCGAGACGAATCTATTGAGCCTATTTAATCCATGATTAGCCTATGTGATGCTACAGTAAACATTCTCTAATTATGGACTAATTAGGCTTAAAAAATTTGTCTCGTAAATTAGCTTTCATTTATATAATTAGTTTTGTAAGTAGTTTATATTTAATACTCTAAATTAATGTCTAAATATAGAGATTAAAATTAAGTCCCTGGATCCAAACACCACCTGAAACTGCAAGTCTGCAATTGCTAGCAGCAGCAGCAGCAGCAGCAGCAGCAGCAGCAAACCCAGACTGGACCAACAAACACAAACACAATCTTGACATGCTGTGGACGTTGAACGCCACCACCACCCAACCACCACCACCACAATGCCCCGCGTTGCGTTGGCGTCGTTCCAAGCATTGGAATGGAGCCGGATCACGCGTGAGGCGAGACGAGACGAGATTACCAGAAAGCAACGGCGAGGGACAGCCATGCGTCCCGTGAGCTGTCCCAGGTCTCACCACCTCCAATGTTTCCGTGCCACCAAAGAAGACATCACACAACATCTGCCTTGCAAGACAACTCATCCTCACGACACATTTTGACAGGCGTGTTGCTGGAAAGGAACATATATACCCCCATTCACATGGCAGAACATTGTGACCATTATGAGAGTATACACATCGTTGGAGATCTGGTGAACTCTTGTCAGGCAACTCAACCCTGAATAAGTATGGACAGTATATTCAAAAGTTAATTAGCTCAATTCATTTGAATTACATAGGCAAACGGGTGGGTGGTGGAACACATCCATAACATAATACTTATGAAAGAATCAACAATTGTAGCTACCAAAAGCTATACTTCGGTCAAACTTACGGTTCATCGCATCGCACGCAAGTCAGCAACTTTGGTCATACGAACTCAGATGGACTTTACAGATTGAAACAATCAAAATGTTAAAAGAGGAAAAACAAAGATTTCCCTCATGAGGCTCCGCTGTATCCTGAGCTGTAGCCACTGTAGCCGCCTCTCTTGGTTGTCCTGCTCTCGACTTCCTGGGTTTGTTGGCCCTCGCTGCTTGATGCAGAGGGTATCTGGCCATACTCGCTGGTTGGTGCGCTGTATTGACTGCTCGTATCATTATTGTTGGTAAAAGCCATCTTCCTGAACTTCTTCATGTCCTCGTTGTATTGGCCAGAATCATAGTCAGAGCTGCTGTACGATCCAAAATAGCGGCTGTGACCAGGCCGAACACCTTCATTAAGATCCTCCAAAGACACGTCACCTTCCAAAGCCCGGACAACCTGATACCATATCAGATATGAGACATTAGACCACAAACTGAATCCATGCATATGCCAGCCATGTCACCACAGTGCTTCTCACTGTTGAATAAATATTTACTGATGCCAATATTCTGGTTCATGTTAAGCATCTAGTTGCACTCCGTGCTCTTTTATCTGGCAGTAGAAGAGATGTATTGCAAGTTACCTGGCTCATGCGTGGGCGACGACGAGCGGAATGGCGTACGCATGCAGCTGCACAAGCAATCATTCTCGCCATCTCATTGGGATTGAAATCCTTCCCAAGCCGAGGATCTACTAACTCCTCGTAGTTACCATTCTCAAGTGCTTGCATCAGTAAAGGCCTTGCCTGCACGTCGTCATATATATTACTCTCAAGATGTTTGTATTTTAACAGTTTCGTGAAGACACAGAATGACGTAATAACAGGTTAAGTCATGGAGATATAGTTAGTGGTGCTGATAACAAGCGGTGATCGCAACTAGTCAAAAGCAACACCAACTTGGACTAGGGTACTATTATTAAAGCATACATGGAAACATCCATACTACACACGAAAATAGAGGTATGTATATGCAGTTATGCTCGCATAGCACGCTATATGCCTATATCCAAAGCTGAAGGGATAAGTCATCATTAGTGACTACACACAATTATTCAGGTGGCACATTGTTCAAAGGCATACATTTAAAATATAAACCATAAAAGTCCAGTTCCATTCTTTTATTAAAAAGATGATTTGTTTAAACAGTTAATAGGCATGTTATAAAGCTATCAAGTACCTACCCAGTCAACCAAGCTGTCATCCATATATGTTTGACTTGTATCAACTGGCCGACGACCAGTTATTAACTCAAGAAGCATAACTCCATAGGAGAAGACATCTGATTTCTCAGTGAGCTTGCCAGAAGATGCGTACTCTGGTGCTAGATATCTGAGACAAGTAAAATGAACAATTGGACATTAGAAAAAACTCCGATTATTTCTATGTAGGAAGTTGAATGCTGAAATAGTTAAACTGCTAGATAGATGTCACCAAATTTTAAAACCAACAGGAACATGCTAGAAAATCGAGGCAAAAAAAATATGTTGAAGTGTTTTATCAGGAAGAATACCAGCCATGTGACCTAGTTTAAACTGGGACAGAAAGGGGGTCCATATCTTTTTTTTTTCAATCATCATAAAGTAACACCAATGTTGCATGTCTACCTAAAAATGTAACTCCAATGTAAATAGAACATTGCTACAACAAGAATATATACATACCCAAAAGTGCCCATTACTCTTGTCGAAACATGAGTGTTATTATCACTGGTGAACTTAGCAAGTCCAAAATCAGCAACCTGTGCATAGGGTACACGTCATAAATATATGATATAAAAAAATCAGAAAAGCAATACAAAGAAAAATGAAGTATTGAAAACTATAAATGCACAGCCTCAGAGAAAAAAAAAAGACAATAAGTGAAGTTTTCTATACAACAGCAATATACAAAAGTACAGTGTCAGCTTTGGAGTTGACAGCAACTCCATTTCGGTAATTCTATGCAGCAAATCCAAATTACTATGGCATGTTTTGAACCGACAAACACAACCAGATAATCACATGGCATGTTCATTGGCAAAAATCTATATCCTCAGCATGAACCATTCTATGTCAACGCTGTGAATGCAGGGGAAAGCAAGAGTATAACAAACCTTAGATTCAAACTTAAAATCAAGAAGAATGTTTGACGCCTTAATATCACGATGGATGATCTTAGGATGGCCTGTCATTTAAAACAAATATTAATACCTGTTTGCCACTACACTTTTTTGCTAATTTGGAAAACAATGGTGAGAATCTTAGTTCAGATAAAGTTATAAACTTACAGTCTTCATGAAGATAAGCTAAACCCTTTGCAGCTCCCAAAGCAATCTTTAGTCTTGTGGGCCACTCCATTGTTGGTCGGCCTTTTCCTACGGATGGTAAATATAGGAATTAATAATGCATAACAAAGCATAAAAAATATTGATACAGGAATTAACTTGTACAATGCATGACCGAACTTTCAACAAATTACCAAAAGAGAGAATTAATTCATGGCCCTATGAGAATTGAGAAGGCAACTTCTTAAGCACTACCATCTCTATGAAGCAAAGCACTTCATCCAAAGGATTCAGTGTCATTGAATATATTTTAAGGAAATGGTGGCCCAAAAATGATGGTGGCTAGAAATAGTTAAGTGGTGATATTTCTGACTGAAAGTAGTTTAGCCTGCTAATTTAATTTTATTACTCGCAAAGGTTATTTATCCCTGTTTACTATTTCCATAAATTCAAAGTTCTCCTATGGTAGCTCAGAAGTTTATCCGGTAAGAAGGAAATTGAAACCATAAAGTTCAGACAAACAGTTCTGACAGTCCTCTAGAATAAAGCAAAATCCCTTGCTCTCTAAAAGTGTATTTACTATTCACTTAGCTACATTGTACTGGATAGCACGATAGCTGATAGCTAACTAGTCTCAGTACATCCTCCATTACTATATGTGTTAGTCGATCATCTATGTTTTTGTCGTGAGATCTTTCAGACAAAAGTAACTGAGCAAAATAATAAAATATAAGTAATCACAGATAAAGAAGCAAACATATGAACAAAGCATACCGTGCAAGTGGAATTCCAATGTGTTGTTGGGGACAAACTCATAGACAAGCAATCTCTTGCCCCCAGAAATGCAATAACCAACCAAGGAGACGAGATGTTTGTGATGTACTCTGCTGATAATCTCAACCTCCGCCTGGAATTCACGCTCTCCCTGGCCACTTCCAACTTTCAATTGTTTCACAGCAATCTCTTTTCCAGTAGGCAGCACTCCTCTATGGACATAGCCAAAACCACCTTGTCCAAGGAGATTAGCATCAGAGAATCCATCCGTTGCCCTCAACAGCTCTTCATAAGTAAATGTGCTCTTTGAGAAACCAAGGGCAGCGCCAGGGGATGGTGGTGGTAGGATCTCTCCACCTGAGTAAGAGCCAGACCCACCGCTGCTGTTTATCATAGCAGCTGGAGGGGTCGATGGTGGCTGTGGAGGACGGTTTGCATACGCTGGCGGAGGTGATGGGTGCATCTTCACTACATGCTCAGGCGGAGGTGGTGGGGCATTTTGCTGCCAACTTTGCTGGTATGATCCACCATATGCATCCTCTGCAATAAGATGAAACAGCATTAGAAAAAGTATGTCACCATGTTACTAGTAACGTGTAATGTGTGAACACATCAAAACGTTCAGAGTTCAAACGGCTTTCATGGCACAGCATGTACCAACTACTCTTTTTCTAGGAAAAAAAAGGCAGGCTATTCCAAATATACTACAACATTTTGATATTGACAGCAGGCATGACATCATCTCATCCTACATTCATCCATCATCACCTAGTTCCATTGGATAACCAATCACGAATTAATTTACTGAATACAACGAAAGACACACGTGAAAAATCCTCAGTCCTGGCAATTAAGAAAGAAATCCTCAGTCCTGGCATGAAGAATAAATCCTCAGTTGTGGCTATTAAGAATAAATCTTCAGTTCTGGCTTTTAATACGAAATCCAGGACCAGCTCTATGGAAGTCGAAATTTTCGTCTGTACATACTAAAACTAATCCTATGTAGCCGCCATGAACCTGTCAAGTTGTCAACTACACAGCACATGCGTATAGCGTCCTAGTCAGTGCCAAACTGCCACGCGAGAAAGAAAGATCCAGCGCCACCAAAAATTGCGGGCAAGGAGGAGAATTGAAGCTGATAGCAACGTGACCAAAAGCTGCTGCTATCGCACGCTAACCGCACACTAGATCTAGATCTGGAGAGCGACAGCTATTGATCGGACCAGCAGAGAGAGATCGATCTCGGTATCTCACCCTTGTACTGCGGCGGCGGCGGCGGGTACACGTAGTGCTGCTGCGGCGGCGGCGGGCGCCTCCGCTTCTTCCGGAGGCAGCAGAGGCAGATGAAGCTGGCGAGCAGCAGCAGCACGAGGCCACCGACGGCGACGCCCACCACCGTCGCCGTGGACACCCCGGAGCCACCTCCCCCCGACGAGCGCGAGGCGGGCGATTTCGGCGAGGGGTGGGTGCTCGGCGTCGACGGCGACCTCCCTCCACCGCCCCCGGACGACGGCGGCGAGTTCCCCCCGCCGCCAGACGACGGCGGGGAGGGCGTATCCGAGGGCGGCGCGGGTGTCGCAGGACCACCCGAGGCCGACGGCGGCGACGCCGAGGGCACCGCGGGCGTGGACGCCGGTGCTGGGGGCGACGCGGAGGGAACCGCCGGCGGCGTGCCGGCCGATGGTGGCGCCTTCGCCGGCGCGGGTGGGGACGGCGCGGACGGGGTGGCAGGCGGCGGCGCGGAGGGCGTCGTCGGCGTCGTGGGCGTCGGCGTCGGCGGCGGCGTCGACGGGGTGGCGGGTGGTGGGGTCGTGTTGTTCGCCGCTGGCGCCGCCGGCGGCGAGGTCGGCGCCGGCGCGGCGGTCGGCGACGACATCGCGCACCCCGCTCCGCGGTGCCCGAGGCGGCGGAGCTAGGGTTTGGGTGCTCCCTCCCTCCCTCCTCGGCTTTGCTTAGCGCGTAAGCTTGAGGGGATCGGAGAAGAGAAGCGAGAGAGAGAGAGTAAATTGGAAGGAGCAGTAGAGTAGAGTGGAGTATTCTTCTTCTTCTAGTTAAAGAGGAGTAGCGGATTCGAGCTTTTAGCTAGGGGAGGCGGAGGTGGGGGGAAGGGTGGGAAAGGGAAAGGCACGCACTGGCGGTGACAGCGGGGACGTGGTGGGGGCCCACCAGGTGGGGTGTTGAGACAGCGTTGTGTCCGGATGACATGGTGGTCCAACGTTGTGTCTGGGACCACGGTGTCAGAGGCTGTGGGGTAGGGTGGGGGAGGTGGATGGGGGGGAGGGGTTGAGTTGCCTCGTTCGTCCACGCTTTTTGACCGCGGGGTGGACGCGATAAAGCGTTTTACTTTTCGCGTAAGCACCACGAGGGGATAGATAGGTTAGGGTTAACTAACGACAGGGAAGCAGACTTACCGTTAAAAGATAGGGGTAATTATATGTTTCAAACAGTTTTGGTAGGTTAAGTATGGTGGCGAGAAATTGGATATTCTTGTCAAAAGAGAAGATGATGGGATGTGGCGGGGTTCCACCTGTTGTCACCGTAGAAAGGGCTTCCTAAGCTTGGCTTCGGCGAGGGCAGCGCAGCATCAGCCGCTACAACAGGGGCGGAAGAGAGCTAGGGATGCTGGGGAAGAGCTCGGCTCTTCTGCCGTCTCCTTCAACAGCAACAAAATTCATGCATACGGTAGGCTTCGATCATACAAGCGGGAGGTGGAGATGGTGAATGAGCGGTCAACAATAACTGAAGGGGGTATTAGTGATGTGGCAAAGCATCGGTTTAGCATCACTTAAAAGTTGCTTTTTAAAAAATTCAATCCGCGAAATGGCATTTAAGCGGAAATCCTCTTTTAGCCAAATGTCCTATTTCTCGTGGCTGGCCTGGGCGTTCTCAATTCTCATCATCTAATGACCAACAAGTCCCAACGACGCTGTCTTTGTTACTTTGTTTTACCCTAATTTTTTACCGTAACACGGGAGTTAGCTAAAATTTCGGGAGCGCGTCTGCGCGTGCGCGAGTGACGGCGACGCGGTGGGCCGGGCCGGTGAGGATCGTTGGATGCCGGTGAGGTGTGGGCCCCAGAGGTCAGTGACCGAGGCTCCGTTGCTTGCGGTGGCGCGGCGGGTTTGCGTCGTTGCCGCGGTGTTCGCAACGTGGTGGGGCCACGGACACAACACACCCTTGCTGACGTGGGCCACCGTCTCCAGCGTTGCATTATGCCCGCGTGATTTGCGGCTTCATCTCTTCTGGTCCCACTGCCGATGATATGATTCACTTTTGGTAAATTTCGTGAAAAAGGCAGTCCTTCAAAATCGAAATTTCACTTTGTTACTCGAATCTCATATGATGAGGACCAGAAAGGCAAAGACCTGGATTTGAAACGGTTTTGCACATGAAGCTGTTCAATTCACGCTCTGTTCGGACCACACACGGGAATTTTTCTGTACAACCCAGATGAGAATTTAATCCTGGAATTAATTCTTTTACGTTTGTGTAGCATAATTGGACCCGATCCACACGAGGTATTGCTAGTACGGGCATGGTATTTTTAAATTTCCATACTAGGAATTTGAAGGCGTACGTTTTTGTCGGGCAAACAGCAATAAAACAGCTCATCACAAATCCCAGATTTGAGAGGGTCGCAGCACATCTGCACATGGCACCGTTTGCTTGCAATGCTTTCAGGCTTGCAATTGCAAAAGCCAAATGGAGGAAAGGCTAGCTCTCCCATTTTTTCTACGCTCTACGGTCCACGCGTTTATGTTTGCATATCTATCGCATCATTAAGGTTACTAGCTAAGCTTTAATATTTTATATTTTAACCCTTTCTAAAAACTTATTTATAAATAAACCATAAATAAACTTTTTTTTTAGAAATGGACCATTTTCTCGGCGTCTGATACTGAGGTCGAACATCTCAGCGCCAACGACGCTAGTGCTGACACCTCACCACCTAGCAACTAAGATGTAGAGCGGTCGGTGCCAAAAAAGACTTACATTGAAGGCCTATTTATTTAAATAAAATTTATTAAACAAAGTTAAATTTTTCTTACAAACAGGCTTTGACACCGTCGTTGACGTCGAAAACGCTATCGCTAGGGTCTGGAAAAAATATGCACATTTTGGCTCATTTTAAAAGGATATTTTATAAACAGGTCTATTGTAGACGCACTTCACGTTAGCGACTTATTAGCTACCATGAGGAGATCGATGAGAATATCGACGACAGTATCTCAGCACCAATAACCATGATGGGACGGCAAGAAAAAGGGTCCATTACTCGAAGAAGTTTTTTCAAAAATTTATTTATAAAATAAGTATTAAAATGCTAAAATGTAAAAAAACAATCCACACTAGCAAGCTCTCATCAGGTGAGGACGGTTGTTGTGTACAGAGTCAATTACACGCCGCGTTAATTCCGACATTAATCGCGTCCTAATCAATCGATGAATTCGTCATTGGCGCCGGCGAGAGTAGCTGGGGAAGGAGGAGGATGATTAGGCGGATAGATTAATCACGAGAACGAACTCACGCACATGGTCAGTACGCCAATCATGCTGTCTCCATTGACAAAATCATTTGAGTACCCCCGGCGTCTCCGATGAAATTAATTAACAATCAGTTAATTACTAATCCAGTGAATCTACTAATCATGCTTTGTTTTTTTTCTCCACTCGCAAATGATAATGCTCTCGTAGGTTAAGTACGTACGGTTGGTAGCAGATTATTAATTATTAGCTGAATTGCATGCACATCGATAGTTATCGAGATGTGGTGGTTTTGTCTTCTTGGTTAGTGATAAGTAAACAATCTTAGTTTAATTATTATTACATGGGAGATAAATTATCGTGGTATCTTCCATGGAGCTAGATTAGATCAATATTGTGGTGCAACTAGCCAGGCAAATCGGAGGAACAAACTATTGTTTGTCAGCTTGTGAAGCAAAAGAGGTTAAAGAGCCAACGTCCAGTTACTGGCAGACTGGCTACATCAACGAAAAGCCATTGCTTAGGCTGTGTTCAGACCCAGGGTGAAAAGTTTTGGCGTGTCACATTAGATATACGGACACACATTTAAAGTATTAAACATAGACTAATAACAAAACAAATTACAGATTTCGCCTGTAAACTACAAGACGAATTTATTAAGCCAAATTAATTTGTCATTAGCAAATGTTTACTGTAACACCACATTATCAAATATGGGAGCAATTAGCAGACTTGTCTTGCAATTTACACGTAATCTGTGTAATTAGTTATTTTTTCGTTTATATTTAATATTGCATGCATGTGTCCAAACATTCGATGTGATAGGGTGAAAAATTTTGCCGGAGAATCTAAACATGCCCTTATTTCATTTGCTACTACTCCTTCCGTTTCTAAATATTTGACGCCTGTACTGATAAGGGATGTTGGGTCCCGATCTTCCGATAGGTATTGATAAACAGTCGATTTGGGCGGAGTCGCGACACAACTCGATCTGACTTCTGAACGAACACGCTACAGAGCCCCGCAATCGCAGCACCACGTCTTCTCTGGTTATCAACCGTGCCGAAACCCGGTTGACCTTGCCGAGAAGGCTAATCCCTGCATGCGAATTGAAGAACACAAACAAGAACAAGATAGATTGCAACCAAATTGCATATGAATGATTAAGCACTCGAATTTGAAGTTCCACAAACCGATCTAGCGGTGAAATTGTTCTTGACAGAATAATCTAAGCAAAACCCAACTCTAAATGATGACGACTACTGAATTAATATAATTAGGGACGTCCTAGGGTTTCCCTAGGGCGCACACCCCCTTGGGCTAAGCCCACGACACAATTACAAGGCCCAAAAACCGAGTCAGATTCGGACTGGATGAGATACGTGGCTTGTTTTGCAGATTCCTGGCATCTCGGTAGGAATTTTGACGTGGGACTAAAACCATATGAAAGTAGACTCCATAAGCTTTCACACAAGTATTCATGGGCCCTGAAATTCCTTCTAGATCAGCGGCTAGGTCCGTTTGAAGTTGATGCTGTCAGGAGGCCCGAATCCGAATCTAAAACATGTAGAACTTTATCTCTTGTCTTCTATGGACCAAAGGTGACGTAATGAGATGGAAGTAGACTTGGAGAAGGTCTTGATATGGTCCCCAATCAACTTCTTTGATCATCCATGAATTCCTTACGCTCGGTATCTTTTCCTTCGCCCAAGCAAGTACCTCTGCAAACAAAAACACATGAAACTCATTGTGTAGCAACGTTTGTACAAATATATAACATGTAAATCTAATGTAGAACATATGCACCTTTGGTTGATTAATACATAAGGTAGTCATGGTTATATCCGAGCTAGTTGTGTCCTCATCATCCTCCCCTTCTTAATTGGAAACCGTCCTCGGTTTCTCCTTGTCATAGAGCGTATTGAACTTATCTTTATGTATCACAACATCCGGTGAGGAACATTTCTTGATGGCCATATGGTTGGATCCTGAAATCTTGGTAGTCGAAAAACCACCACATTCCCCTTCTTGCAAACCAACCTGTAACTTATTTAAAGAACTAGAGGAACTAGATAGAGAATTACTTATATGCATGCAGTCCTCTAGACAATACATTTCATCATGAAAAGGAGGTATAGTCAAATTTGAACAAATATATACTCGATGCACATTATATTCTCCTTTACTATCATAATTGCTAATAATATGAAAAATCACATCAGAAGGGCATGGCAATTCAAACCTTGCAAATAATTTCTTCTCTAAACAGTTGAGTGGACAAAGATCATCAAATTGAATATAACCCCAAGTATTTAAAGAAGATAGCAATTTAAGATCTTCATTCTCGCTAGCAATGTGAATAACATGTTTAAACTCAACACATAGTGGCTCTACTATAGAACTAACATGTTCAGTCACTAGTTGTGGCATGGATATAAGTGAAGCATCGCACAACTCTTCTTTATCACAAGAAACATCAAACAAATTGTTTTGTGACAAAGGTATTTCAGCAATTATTTCCACTATGGGTTGCTCTAATGTAGCATAAGTAGTGGACATAGTTG